TTAACAAAGATTATTAGGTACCTCAAAAATAAAACTAAAAATTATTTAAAAAAAAAGAAAAATCTTAAGTACATAAAATGTTCAAAGATCTTAGCAAAAATACATAAAAAATTTAAAGATCTCAGCAAAAATACATTAGCTAAAAACTTTAAGAAAAATTATATATATATATATATAAAACCAACATATGAAAAAAAACTAAAATGTGAAGAAATTTTACATATCGCCTAGACAATTACAATTTCATCAGAAATTAGAGTACCAACATCATAACTAACCCTATTAACAACGATTAAATATTCTTTTTCTTGAGCCTTTGTATCATGATATCCGATAGGACCAATGTTACAATCAGCACAACATATATATTTTAATCCAGTTTCCTCAATAGTTTTTGAAAAACCAATATTTTCAAATGCCATCATGTCTGTTAATTGCCAATATTCTACAATTGATTGTGAGGTTGATTCGCCATTAGTGCTGTTCTTATTTATATTTTCTTTACCATTAGTAATACCATTTTGTTCTAATTTTTCGTTGCTAGGAGGTAATACAGTCTATTATATAGGCAGAAATATAATAGAAAAGGTTGGAATATGTCGTTATAAATGTATTAATTTAGAGATTGAATTATTCAAACTAATATCAAATGATTATTCAAATTAAATTATTCAAATAAATTATTCAAATTAAATTATTCAAATTAAATTATTCAAATAATTATTCAAATTAAATTATTCAAATAATTATTCAAATAATTATTCAAATAATTATTCAAAAAATTATTCAAATTAAATTATTCAAATAATTATTCAAATTATATAATTCAATTTAAATTATCATTCAATTATTATTCAAAAAAATATTTATTTGATTACTTTATCTTTAGGTCTCTCAACAAATGTTCCCAAGCTTGTTCTCAAAAGAAGACATTTACAGGAAGGTTGTGGACAATAAATGTCAAAAGCATTTTGATTATTGCCAGCGGTTACAAGTTGAGATTTTGGATCAGAAAAATCCTGGTAAAGATATCTTTTATTCGACATAAATTTTAAAGAATTTTTTTTAAATAATTTTTAGTTTTATTTTTGAGGTACCTAATAATCTTTGTTAATATTAATATGCTTTTAATAATTCCTTATTTATATACTGTATATATGATCATATCTAAACTTATTCCGAAACCTATTAGACTTAATCTTGGTCTCTCACAATTTTTTAAATTAGAGAATCTATGAATGATTTATATAAAGGTTTGAAAAACAAATAAATTTATTATTATAATTTTTTTTCTTTTTTTTTTAATTGTTATTTTACAATATATAATTTACTATACTTAACAAATATATTTGAATTTGTGTTTAAAATTCATCTCAGATTAAGGTGTTAATACATATGTAGGATCTTTGCTAAGAAAATGCCCCCGAGACTATGTAAATCTAATAATCCTATCTGAACAAACTTTTTTATTTCTTAGAGCCTAGTGAATTCTATTAGAAAAAATTTTTTTATTCAAATTGGATTATTGGATGGATAGTGAATTTAAAATCATTTTCCTAGCAAGACCCCATATATATTATCATATCATTGTATATTATCATATCATTGCTGAAGTATTACTTGTATAAAATAAGTATAAATGCAATATTGAATATTATTATCGAATCTATCTATTAGTTAGTACGTTCATACATATATTTAAAAAACTTTAGTTAATGCTATTTATAAAGATAATCGACAAATCAAAGTTGATTAGATAACAAACAAATTTAATCGCTCATGTAGTTAATGTTCTGAAAAACTATAGTTCTATTTCTGTAACAATTAATGTGTCTTGGTTTACTCTAGCAAGTTTATCGATCAGTTTGACTCCTTTTCGGTAAGCGCACCAATTACT